CCCCCCCCGCCCCTTCTCCTGCGCTCTGTCTCCATCCCAGCAAAAGCATCAGAGATAAAATTTAATAACCCTTTTCCATGCTCTAATCGGGGGCTGGGGTTTCACTCTCCAGAACACGGTTCCTATGTCGCGGCTGGTGCAGCCTGGATTATCAATTACTTTCTAGGAAGGATGCATATAAAAGCTAAGGAACTGTTGATGGAGAAAATCAGGCGCCTGTGTTACATGAGCAGGGGCTGTCTTGGGCAAAAAAAAGGGTCATTTTACCCCTTTTCCCCTCCAAAATGCGCTGGGAAAGTTGGGAAAGTTCTATCTGCGTCTCAGCGTTTCAATGACAAAAAAAAGAGGGGGGGGGGAGTTAAGAAAGGGGGGGGGGAGCAAATAGCAAAGCAAATTATCAGCCGAGCTCATGAGGGATGCGTGGGCTTAGTGATGTTTGTAAAATGGGCAGAAGGAAAAGGGAGAGCAAAAGCGAGCAGAGAGAGCGCGAAAATCTGCGGGCGAGCGAGGGCTTTGCAGAGGTTTGTGCGTGGGGTGACACCCGCGGAGCCCCCAGCCCGGAGGGTGCTGGTCGCAGGGTGGCAAGGTGCAGGTTGGCGCGGAGAAATAAAGTCTTAAACTCCCAATATTTGGACTTTTCTGGGTAAGCAAACCGGCAGGCTAGCAGGTTTTCCCAAAGGAGGTTCGGATCCCAAGGAACGGTGCGGGTTTTGGCCATGATATTTTTTATTATGATTTTTTTTTGCTGGTGGATTGTGATATTTCGGGTTGTTCGCTTTGGTTTTGTTGGGGTTTTCCCCCCCCCCTCCCCCCCCCTTGCTTTGACTTCCCACTTGTGAGCCTCAGGGCAAAGTTTCTGTGCAAGGAATATATTTCGATTGCAAAAATAGCGATGTCCCCTGGTCTGAATGTTCGAACCCAGATGAGAATAAAATCACGTGCGATGAATTAATGTGTGGTTTTAAGCATCGGGTTGAAAACATCTCGCTCTGTTTTGTCTGCTGTGTTAAAGATGCTGTGTTTTAAGTGTGGAAAAGACGGAATTGTTGCTGATTTGGTTCCAAGCAATGTTGCGTGGTGCACGGTTGGGTTTTTTTTTTCAGCATCCTTTTAGGTTGAATACACCAAGCTGGGGAAAAAAAAAAAATGTAATAAGCGAGTTTAAAAAAGGGGAAGGGAAGGAGAAAAAAAAAAAAAAAGAAGAAGAAACTCATTCACGGTACTGTAAATTAATATTTCAACAGGGACAAGGTTGATTACTGGTACATTTAACCATAATTATTTGATATTAGTGCTGTGATAATTGAATGATTTAAAGGATTCATTACATGTATGATGAGTTTGCCTGCTCTGTCTTAACTATCTGCAGATTTCTTTCCCTTTCTTCTAACAGCATGTACAAGCCAAAACAATATCTATTATGTGAATATTAAGATTGATTTTATTTCTGAGAGACCACCCCCCTGGAGAGAAAGAGAAGAATCCAAAGTTAATATATGTTTAGCAACCCAACTCCTGAAACGCAGTAAAAGTTAAAATCTCCCCTACTGGTTTTTAATTATGATATTAGATCAGGAAGGAGGACGGTGGGAATTTATTGCTTCAGCGATTTTGTACCGATGTGCCTGGGTTTTTATGCAAGAACATGGGTAGTCAAAAAGACCCCACGCTGTTCGCCGTCACCTCCCCTCGCGTAATCCTGTTTGCCTTCTTGCTGATGCTCCCGCACTTTCTGATGCCGTTATCAGGATAAAATATTGGCGATATTACGATACGCTGGCTTGCATCATTTTTCTTGCGTCTGCTCGCATAACGCTCCTCTCCCAGCAGGTGTAATTTGAAAACCCGGAGGCTTTTGCCTGCGCCTCTGCCTCTCTCCGTGCGTCCACGCGTTGCCTATGGATG